GGAACCAGACACCCCTCTGTTTGACCCCTTTTGAATGCTAAGACCCAAAACTGCAACCGCCCCATTCCTTAACAACATGGTAATTACCATTTCCAGCATGGCGGGGGTGTCCGGAGCACTTAAAAACCTTTTATTTCGACGCCCATAAACACATATGCAATTCAACAAAAACGTTCTGCATCATCTGCAGTCCAATAGCAATACGTATACCGAACCACAGACAAATCCGTCCAGCCGATCGCGAGAAACAGCTGCTGACAGAAATGTTTCGAACCATAGTAAAACCTCCTCGCGGAAGGATATCTCCTTCCCCGGAGGTAACAAACTGATGTCAGGAGGGAAAATTGTACCAGTTCCTGTTTTTAGACAACCAGATCGGAAGACTTTACCACCCCCTCACATCTGCTTGGATATGAGTCACAGCCGCCTCCCAAAACCTGGAAGAGGCTAATAAAACCCTACGGTGGTCAAACTGGCCTGGCAAGTTATTCTCCCCATTTCGCTAGATTTGTAATTACATTTCAGCCAACGTAGTTTAACAGTCTGGTGGAGACTACCTACTACTAGGAGCCGCCTCCCGAAGCCTGGTAGAGGCTAGAGACTAGCGGTTGAACCGGATCCATACATCAATTATATAGTTGAAGAGTTTGTCTTTCTTCTAACAGTGTGTACTTTACTGTGTGATCGGCTTATAGCCCTTTTATCAAGTCCTTGAGATCATGATTAGAAAAGCGAGGAAAGAGACGCGCATGTACACGGTGTACTAGTATTTCTTTTGTATGAAGTTACTTCTTGATTGTGCCTTTCTATCAGCATAATCTAGAGGCCTCTAGAATGCCTAAAGTGGTAAACTTCATCTTGGAGTAAAAGAAAACGCCCGTTTTATTTCTAGATAAAGTCTTTGATTTAAGAAGTCATATGCATTAAATTACTAATTTAGTATTTATGTGTCAATTTTAAGTTGATGTAAATGATCAACACGTGCAACTGTACACCGAATGCGGAAGTTTTGTTTCGCAAATTAATTTGACTTTTTTGACGTCTTTGTTCAGTCTTTTCCAGCCTATTTGTGAACCAAATGGTGCATAATCGGTTTCCTTTCAGACACAAATCCCTTTGTTATTCCCGGCAATAAACATTAATCCACTCCTACTAGCGCCACAGAGTCGCCTGGCACGGATAGGAACTAGTTTCCACCAGACTCCTTTTGCAGGCTGAATAAATCGTAGAAATCGGTATAAAAAGGGTCTGAGAAGGTGGCTGGCCATCGAGGATCCAATTGGTCTGCAGGCTACCTTCTCTGGCCAATTAATACCCTTTTTAGACAGATTTCTACGATTTATTCAGCCTGCAAAAGAAGTCTGGTGGAGACTAGGAAGGAACACGCACAGACAAAACAAATTAGCCAATACACACTCCCAAACCACTTCAAGTAATCCCAAAGTCGCCTAAAGAAGAAAGAAAAACAACCTAAGATCCATTCTGCAAGCAATGGAGGAGAAAATCTTCCGAGCACGTGAACAACAATAAATATTTAAAGTACTCAGCGAGAGGTCTCTTCAAATT